GTAGGATGCTCTAGGACAGTGGTCCTCATCCTTCCTGACGCTGTGACCCTTTAACACAGTTCTCATGTTAGGTGACTCCCTCCAACCGTAAAATTCTTTTCATTGCCACTGCATAACTGTAACTTTGCTGTTATGAATCATAATGCAAATATCTGCTTTCCAAAGGTCTTAGTGACCCCGTGAAAAGGACCTACGACCCCAAAAGGGGTCACGGTTGCAGGTTGAGAAACACAGGTCTAGATTCAGTGCTGGGGAGGTGGGGGAGAGTTCAGAACCATCAGAGCCCCTGATGCCCTCTCCACGGAGCCCCAAACTATATCCAGCCCCACTCCTACTTTAGAGCACCTGCCGCTAAGATCTTCTGCATAACGCATAGAAAACCCACACTTACACTCGAACAAAATTCCCCAAATCATTGCTCTGTTCAACCCAAAACCAGGGAACCCACGTAAACGCAGAAGCACTCGTCCTTCCCAACAGACACAGGGACAGACATAGTTGTAACAGTTTATTTAGAATATTTACATTGTAAGTTTTTCTTTGTAGTGTTGCAAAGAAAAGGCTCTCCACAGGGGGGCAGTGTTGATTCTCCGGTGGCAGGAAAACGCCAACCTTACAGTACGTGGATTAAATACAAAGAACTATGGATTATACCACAAAACGATAATAAGGACAAGCAGATAATTAAAGTTTTAGCGTGGAAGACTAAACTTAGAAATACACAGTGGAAAAAAGGTGATGAAAGCCAGTCTGTCTCGGGGATGACTGAGAAGACACTGTCAACTTTAGCTGCTCTGGATTGGGACCAGACACTGAGACTGTCATGGGTCCCTGGGCAGCAACTAATACTTTAAATTTCACACATCATTAGGTCTAAGAACACAAAATCCCTTTACTCTGTTTAAATAAAACACTGTAGACAGACAAACTGGCAACGTTACTGTGGATATAAAGTACATATACGTATAAGGTTTAACAGTCAACTCAAATTACCTTCTAAAAGGCTGGAAATTTAGAACGAACCCAGGAGGGAAGGACCAACCCCGACAGACAGTGCAATGGCAGTCCTCAGGCGCCACCAGTCCGCTTCCCGGAGGACCCCGGGAGGCCGAGGAGGGGCCTCTAATCCACCTCCTCGATGGTGGGCCCCGACCCGGAGCCTCCCTTGGGCGCCTGGGCCCCGAAGCCCCCAGCACCGGGAGCCCCCGCGCCCTGGTACAGCCCGCTGATGATGGGGCTGCACACCCTCTCCAGCTCCTCCCGCTTGTGCACGAACTCCTCCTTGTCGGCCAGCGTGTTGGCGTCCAGCCAGGAGATGACCTCCTGACACTTGTCCAGCACCTTCCTCTTGTCCGCCTCGCTGAGCTTGCCCTTGAGGCCCTCGTCCTCCACGGCGCTCTTCATGTTGAAGGCGTAGGACTCGAGCGCGTTCTTGGCCGCCACCCGCTCGCGCTGCACGTCGTCCTCGGCCTTGTACCTCTCGGCCTCCTGCACCATGCGCTCGATCTCCTCCTTGCTCAGCCGGCCCTTGTCGTTGGTGATGGTGATCTTGTTGGCCTTGCCCGTGCTCTTGTCGGTGGCCGTGACGTTCAGGATGCCGTTGGCGTCGATGTCGAAGGTCACCTCGATCTGCGGCACGCCCCGGGGCGCCGGCGGGATGCCGCTGAGCTCGAAGCGCCCCAGCAGGTTGTTGTCGCGCGTCATGGCCCTCTCGCCCTCGTACACCTGGATCAGCACCCCGGGCTGGTTGTCCGAGTAGGTGGTGAAGGTCTGCGTCTGCTTGGTGGGGATGGTGGAGTTGCGCTTGATGAGCGCCGTCATCACGCCGCCCGCCGTCTCCAGGCCCAGCGACAGCGGCGCCACGTCCAGCAGCAGCAGGTCCTGCACGTTCTCAGACTTGTCCCCCATCAGGATGGCCGCCTGCACCGCCGCCCCGTAGGCCACCGCCTCGTCCGGGTTGATGCTCTTGTTCAGGTCGCGCCCGTTGAAGAAGTCCTGCAGCAGCTTCTGCACCTTGGGGATGCGCGTCGAGCCGCCCACCAGCACCAGGTCGTGGATCTGCGCCTTGTCCAGCTTGGCGTCGCGCAGGGCCTTCTCCACGGGCTCCAGCGTGCCGCGGAACAGGTCCGAGCACAGCTCCTCGAAGCGCGCCCGCGTGATGGACGTGTAGAAGTCGATGCCCTCGAACAGCGAGTCGATCTCCAGGCTGGCCTGCGTGCTGGACGACAGGGTCCTCTTGGCGCGCTCGCAGGCCGTGCGCAGCCGCCGCACGGCGCGCTTG